AGGAGGGGGCCAGAAATCGAGGCCCTCCTTGAGTTATGGCGAACCCGCGTGCTTCCCAAAACCCTCCATTTAGAAGGGCTGTTCTAAGGATAGCCTTTGCTTGGCTTCCAGTTCCCCACTTGGGAGTCCCCGGCTTGGCATCCCTTTGGACTTAGCAGAACCCGGCAAAACCCGGCAGAACTCTCCGAACCCGAGCCCGGTTGCAAAGCCCCCCGTACCTCAACTGGCCCCAAGCCCCTGCTCCTAGATTTCATGGGCTTGCCGCAAGCGGCTTGACCCAGTCCAGAACAAAACCCCGTAAACACAACAAGCCCGCAACGTGCGGGTAGGGAGATGATCTGCAAGGTGTCATCACTGCCGCATCTGCAACGTTTGCGTCCTCCGAATGGACCACCACTGCCCGTGGGTCTACAACTGCACCTGGGTCTTCCGTTCTTGAACCCGAACCCTAAACTGTCAACCCTGTCACCTCAAGCCCTTAACCTAAACCCTAGCAGGACTTGAATCCTGAAACCAGGAAAAGCATTCAAGAGGTACACCCACCTAGACACTTAAACCCCAGATTTTGGACCCTCAGCCCGACACCCTCCCCAAGAGCTTCGGGGTTTGGTTTGCCTTCCCATGCCCTCAGCCCGCAGCTTTCCCGAAATTACGGGTACCTTATTGGGGTCCTTATTATAAGGGAATCCTACTATTGGGGGGGTCTTTATCACGGGCCCCCTATTCTATTAAACTCCCATATTTCGAGTTGCAAAGACTGCTCCCTGGCACTTCAGGTTGTACTGAAGGATGAGCGAGTGACACAGGACTTCCACCACCAAGACTCCAAAACTCCAAAGTCTGTGCCGAGGCATAGGCTTCCGTAACCACAAGTACTTCATCCTGCTGCTGATCTACTCGGCCGCTGGGTTCCAGGGGCTTCGGGGGCTCTGAAAGTTTCACGGCTTTTCTGGCTTGATGCTTGTGAGTCTGTTTGCGCGGTTTAGGCTTTCAGGGTTTGGAGGTTTGGAGCGCAGAGGGGCTAGGGTTGAGGGCTCAGGTCATGTGTAGCTTCAGGGGATTTTCAGGGTCCTAAGAGTCCGGCTTCGGGATTCAGAGCTCGAAGTCGGGGGTACTCCGAGCTTGGTGTTCACAATTTCTTCCTCGTAACGTGCCACAGAAACGACCAGCATGGCGAAACTCTAGAGGCTTAGGCATGCCGATGTCTCGCAGGTGAGGGCCTCTGGGGGGGGTTTCGCGGGGGTGCTTCTGGGGGGCTTCCGAGGCCGGCAAAGTTCCTGGTAGGAGCCAAGTAAAGAAGCCGGAGAGTTTTCAAAAGACCCAGGCCATCGACTTGCTGTTTATCGGCATTACCATGTTCGAGTCGGTGTGGTGGTCCACGCGAACGGCCGCTTGCCCAGGGTGATCGCTGGGTCAAACCGGGGGTCATCCCGGAACGGGGCTCAGAGATCTTCAGCGCGCGAGCTCTGCCTGTCCAAAATCTCAGCTTGTTGAAGCCCTGAAGACACAAAAGCTTGTAGTCGCGCGTGTCCCCTGCAAGTCTTACAGTTTCGACTCCCCAAAGAAGTCCCAAGCTGAAGTCGTCGCCGACGCCCAGGATGTGAACCCGTCCATGATGTTTCTGATGGTCTTCGCTGAGTGCTTTGATCCTTGGACCCGCAATATTTCCAATCTCGGCGAAGTGTCGGAGCCCTCGACTTAAGCCCAGTGCCTGTGCAGTCTCCCCACGAGCGAAGCCGCAAAATGTTGTGTCTTCCTTTGCCAAGGGACTCGCTCAACACGTGGTATGTCAAGCCCATGGTTTACAGCTGCATGACTTGAGCCTCTGATTGAGCCAGCATGCCGAAACCCAAGTAGGGCCCCGCTTGTAGCAATTGGAAGTGTATGGACAATCCGTGGGAAAGCCTCAAGTCGAAGCAGATCCTGAAGAGCTCATTCACATTAAGCAGTTGCAAGGAAGCACCCGGAACTCGAGAGCAGTTGAACAAGCATCGGCACCGAAAGTAAACACCCAAAGGAAGGACTGCTGTGAGAGTTACGAGACCAAATGCCCAACCAAGCCCCAGCCCCTAAACTTCCCTAAGCCACCCTGTGCGCTTCCGCAGGTTTGCTTTCTGGCAACGGTGAACTGCCTTTTCTTGGCTTTCCATGGGCGGCTTGGCGACAAGCCTTTAGTGGCGACAAGCCTTTCCTTTGCGGCTGGCTTTAATGTTCCTGGATCGATGTCCATTGTGCTCGTTCTTGAAGACCGAAATCAGGGCTCCTTGCCAAAGTGGATTGGTGGGTGGGTGGACCCGAGAGTGGGACTTAGAGTCAACGGAAATGGCCACACAGTATGGGAAAGATGCAACAGGTCGAAAGAAAGAGCACATCTCCATTTCGCATCATTTGCCGCCTTCGATGGGTCGCAGCTTCCCGTGTCGTTTGGACAAGATGCGCAGGTCGAGGAGATCAACCACAAACAGGAACCTTTCTTCGCGATGCATCATCCACAATCTGGCATGAGAAAGATCTGTAAAGCTTGGAGAGCATGACCAGCCTCATCTGCAAGCCTAGCCCTCGCGATGCCCTACGCAAGGTCCTGAGAACCTGGTCTGCGCGTTTGTCGCAAAATTCTCGGTGCAATAGAGTTTGCGGCCGGCCCCTAAGCCCTAAACTCCTAAACCTTCCTAAACCCAAAACCCAAAACTCAAAACCCCAAAACCCTAAACCCTGAACCCTAGGAGTCTACTTCAGGGTGTGGTGTGTTTAGGGCTCCTTGTTTCAAGGTGGCTGACGGTGAAGGCCATGACTACTCTCGAGTTCTGTGAGAAGTCCATGAAGAGACGCGGCTGCTGATGATGCTACAGTGGGGACTTTTGCTTTTGGGTTGGGATTCTATGTGGGTCGACCCGCAGCCCTACATCGCTTCCTTGAAAATGGAGAGTTGACAGGGCCAAGGCCCCCCCTCCCCCGATATAAAAAAACAACCCTACCCCCTACAATTGAATACACCCCCCCATATACTCTAATATCCTTATATCAGTGTCATGGGAGTACTTAATATTTGGGGGTGGGGGGGGGGGGTGTACTGTTAGGGGGATGTCAGGCCCCTCAGAGCCAACCCTCAAGCTTTGTGAGCGCGCGCTTGCTGTGGCAGCCGAGGATGGCAAGCTACGACTCCTCCATCTACTCCCGGGCACCCGGGGCTCTCCAGAAGGGTTTAGGGGTTTTGGGGGGTTTCGGGTTTAGGGTTTAGGGTTTAGGGTTTAGGGCTTAGGGTATTCCAGGAAAAAGGAAGAAGTGTAGAGTTGGAAGCTTCGAGGCTTGTGTCGGACACTTCTGAGCTCCAAACTTTAAGCCCCAAGGAATCCGAAGGGGAGCTTCAGGGTCCTAAACGGTGCCCTCGAATGGCCTGGAGGGCCCAGGAACCTTCAAACGTCAAGTCTGAACTCTGAGTCTTAAGGTTTCTATTTTTTTTGCTTGTTTTGGGGCGGGTTTTGCGGGTAGGGTTCACAGTGGAGGGTTCAGCATTGAGGGCGCCCTCGTGGAGTTCAGGTCTCAGTGTTGTAGGAAAGTCCCAGCAGCCAGTGAATGCCCGCTTCCCCCGGCGGTGGCTCCATCGCCGAAGCCCTGAGCCCTAAACCTTCGAGGGCATCTACGACAACATCTGCGCCGTGTTGGGGCCGAATCCCCTGCTCTGGTTCTTGCCCTGCGCCTTGCCTGTTCTACAAGTTGGACACCTCTCCGAAATCCTCCACCCTCCCCTGAAAGACTTCGGATTCCGGGGCAGAATTGTTGTCGTGCTGAACTATATTGAGCCCGACCCTGCGATGAGGTCCCGGCTTTTTGGAGGAAGGGGCTCATGGTGAGGAGTTGGAGCCTTGATGCGCAGCCCTCTAGCGCCCTTTCTTCTACCCCCCAAACAACCCCAGACACCCCCAAGCAACTTTGTCGAATCCGGCTCGAAGCCCGGAGTTCGCGTTGTGACTTGTCATATGGTTTAAGGGATCTTTGGGGGGGGGTTTGAGAAGTGGAGGCTTCAAGCTTCAGAGCCGAATTTCTCAGGGGCGGTTTCAGGCCTCAAAGGCGCGGCTATCGGGAATTATGTGTTTTTCGGCTGCGTAAAACAACTCCGACCACAACCCTGGACCACAGACCCCAAACCAAAGTTCGTGGGCGCCTTCACTGCATCCCTTAGGCAGCCTGCCGAAGGGCGACGGCTTGACGTGGAAGTCCTAGAAGCCTTTGGGTTTGACCAGAGTCCTCGAACGCCCTGAACTCTGGGCCTTGCCTGAGCTCTAAGACTCTAAGCTGCAAGCTGCTGTCAGAAGAGTATCCTGAGTGAGTGGTTAGGAGCGGCACTATTCCGGACTGTTCGCATGGGCTTTCAAGTGGCCGCTGTTCAAAGAGCTCAAAGACGGGCGCATCGGGCGGCGCGAGCAACGAAAGATGCGTTTGCTGATGGTTTGGGGCGCCATCCACTATTTGGGGTTCACGTGGGTGAGAGTAGTGTTGGGAACAGAGTATACGTGTATTTACAAGTTGAAGAAGCAGTAGGGAGCTTCAGGTGCCTGAAAGCTGAAACGCCATATGGAAGCCCTGAGCCCGGAAACTCTTGAACCTCTTATTTCAGTGAGGTCTACTTAGTTGTTTTTGGCATGTATTGGGTTCAGTGCTTCGAGGGTCTAGACTTTTAGGGTGTCGGATGTTGCCAAAAGTCAAGGCCCTGAACCGTAGGGGGGTCGGGTTTCGGTACAGGTACTGGGTTTAGGATGCTACCATGACCATTGGGTTTGGGGCTTGTTTACTGGTTGTCGGCCGTGATGTTCGAGTCAGAGAAGACAAAGCCTTGGCACATGCAACAGGTATCAGAAGATTCATACAGCGTCTTTTGCCATCGCTCAAAGCGCCACCCCGGCAATCCAAAGCCTCGGTGCCCGAGCTCAACCCTAGCCTTGAGACCCTAAGCAGTAAGCAGCCTGAAGCCCTCAAAGCTCGCCCTTTTTTCAAAGCCTGAGGCCCTGGGAGAAGGTCGTCCCCATGTGCTGCCCGCGGGGGTGCCTGGTATTGCTCCAGCACAGTAGACTCTTTTTAAAGAGCTTCAAAGTTTCCTGGATCCTCAGGGACTTTTTGGGGTCTCTGGGCCGTCTCTCGTGTCTGGGCCGTCTCTGGGCCGTCTCTGGGCCGTCTGGCTGGGGGATGTGGGGACGTCCAGGGCATTTCTAGCGACATGACCTTGGATCTTCCATTCGTCGGGCGGGGTTTGATGCTTCTTCATTCACTCTTTTCCGCATTGCTTCCACTTGTTCGGGCTTTGAGGGCTCGTAGTTTCAGTGTCCAGTGTTTGAGAGAATCTCAGGGCTTGGGAGGGGGCTTGTAGGGTTCCTGAAGGTCCCTGCAACCTGAACGCGCAAACATAGTATTTAGCCCTCAGCGCTTGAGGTTACGGTTCGTGGGTCTTCGGGTTTCGGTCCTCGGTATTCAAGAATCGATTCGTGAGCCCAACAACTAAAGTTCCCTAAAGTGCTTAGATTCCCTAAAACCCCTACATTGCCTAAAGCTCTGAACCCTACAGGCCCAAAGAGCCCCCGAGGTTTGGCTGGGCCTTGGGAAGCACCTCGCTCAGCTTCGTCTTTCTTTCTGTGCGGGCTTTGGGTCGGGGAGTCAAAGGTTTGCGGGCTTTGGGCTGGAACCCTAAACCCATGCAGTAGCAGGTGGGTTGTCGGGACGCTTTCACCTGAACCCTAAGCCGGTAAGCCCGAAGCCAAATCCTGCACCTGCAAGCCCCAAGATGAGCTCAATCTGAACGCGTTTGCCGGAGCAACAACTGCGGCATCCCTATCTCTAAGAGCTGTAAATTGCGCCCATCTGGCTTGCCATCTGTCATAAAAGTGGCATGGCCAGCGTCCGTAAGTCACACCAGTGCCCGTGGCACAAGCGCTGGGTGAACGGATTTTGGAAGCGATACAAAGTTCTAGGCCGCGATGCTTTTATAGCCGCTCGGCCACACGGAAATCAACTGTAACTGCCGTTTGAGAACAAGCGAACGCCCATCTTCTAGACCCTAAACCCTAAACCCTAGACCCTAAACCCTAAACTTCGTTGTGTCGCCGGACATCTGGGGATGGGAGGGCCAAAGCCCGAGTACATGCAGGGCCGGGCCAGCCCTTCTGCTTACCCAAACCCTAAAAACTAAACCCTAAACCCGTAACCCTAAACCCTCCCCAAAATCCTCAGCCCCAAAATGATAGAAAGGCCCCAAGCTATCCCAAGCAGGCCGCGTACACATTCGCACCACATCATCTTTGTCTTCACCCGACCGCGCCTGGGGCTCTGGCATCCCGCAGGGAGTTGGGGGAAGCTGTTGGTGGGGAGAGTCTAGTTACCTTCAGGAGAAGGGGTTCCCCAAACCCTAAACCCAGGAACAAAAAACCCTAAACCCTAAACCCTAAACTGGAGTTCGGGTTGGAGAAAGTGGGTAGAGTTATTGGTGAGGGTGTATACGTATACATGTAAGTATGTATGTATGCATGCATGCATGCATGTATGTATGTATATGTATGCAAACATACAGGTATATTTAGAATGAGTGAGTTAGTCACTCACTCTCACGCACTCACTCGCTCACTCGCTCACTCGCTCACTCACTCACTCACTCACTCACTCACTCACTCACTCACTCAAGTATATTTGTAATGTTTAATGTTCGTGCTGTATACATGTATATATCTATATGCATATACATATATATATACATATATATATATACATATATATATATATATGGTACCCTCCGAGATGCTCGAAATCCTGGCTTTCAAAGCTGGGCACTGAAGATTGAAGGTTGAGGATTCCCTAGGATTGTTTTCCAGGAATCTGCAGTTGCTGTATGTCAAAAGCCATTTCAGAACTGCGTATGCGAAATCGAAGATTCCGGGAAAAGAGTCGCCAGGGATATTCAATCTTCAATCGTCAGTGCCCAGTTTTCAGTAGTCCGTAAACCGACGTAGCAAGTTGAACGGTTCAGGCTTCGAGTCTGAGGTCCCTCAACCCTACAGTGCCGATTCGGCCCATAGCCTGTCGGGGTCATAGGGGCCCGTCGGGGTCCCAAGGCCTCCGAAGCACTACGGACCTTGTGAGGACGTTTGCATCCAAGGGCTCCCCAACAATCTTCGGGAAGGTCAGAGCTGTACCTCCGACCCAGAAAGTAGATCCTTTCAAGGGTTCCTAAGTTAGTAGAGGGTACGATTTGAGGGTTCTACTTTTTGGATGTCGGGGGTCTGGGTTTCCAGGGAGTGCGGGGGTGCCTGGGGCTTCTCTGGCCTCCACGGGGTCACGTGCAGCAGGCTCATAGCTTTCGGGGACCTTGAGCCTGTCAACCTCAAGCTAGGCGAGCCCGAAAGCTGCGCGGAAGCTGCAGGCCTCTTCGGCTTGCTCCGGCCCCTGCGGGGCTGCTTTGAGCGCCTCTTCTGCGTCGTTCCGGCCGGGGAAAGCCCCCAAAGCCCTCAATCGTTTTGGAGCTGAGACGAGACTTGAGCTTAGGGGGCCCCTTTCAGGGTGAGAGTTTTTGGGGGGTGTTGGTGTTGGTGCAGCGCTGGGCACCCCAAGCCCCCAACGACCGACCTGAAAGACTGCAAGCTTGCCCTGACCCGCTAGAGCAGTCACGTCTTAGAAACAGAAACGCATGAGAAACCTACGCTCCAAACCGTCCGCATCTCACAATGTCCCCAGAACTCCATCCATCACCCTAAAGCCTGAACCCTCTCAGCCTTTAAGAGCCCTAAACCCTAAGCCCGCAGCCACTAAAGCCCACCTCAACCCCTCCCGCCAGCTGGTCGCCAACGTGCGCGTGGAGGTGCAGGGCAAGAAGTGCGCCAGGGGCACCCGGAAAGAATTGAGGGCACAGCAATGTCTGGCATTTTAGGCGTAGACTTTGCTTAACCCCCCTGCCCCAAAACCCCACACTTTTGGGCCGAAAGCCTCGACCCAACCGCCCTGAACCCTGGGACCCTGGAACCCTGGAAGCCCTAAACCCTGAACCCTGAATCCTAAGCCCTATGCCCTAAACCCAGAACCCCAAATCCTGGACTCGTGGCGAAGGGCTACCTTGACAGAGTTGGAGGATGACGAAGGTGTAGGTTTGGAGTTGAAGGGTTCGGGGATATGCAGCTGACATTGGTGATTTTGTGGTATCCTGACATGTATGAAAGCCGTGACGGCAACGCTTGAAACCGAACAGCAAAGCCACACTGGCAATGTGACCTGAAGGTCACTTGCACGCTCAACAGCTCAGCAACTGCGTGAAGTAAAGCCAGAAGTGCAATCACCCCAAGCCCTTGACCCTTAGCTTTACCCTGTTAGCCCTCAAGCCTGAATCAGCAACTTCAAATCTGATACCCTAAATCACCACCACCCCTTGCGTAGGGGTATCCGTGTTTGTCTCCCACCCAACAATTGGATTTTAAGGACGCACTGGCGCGATGTGGGATGCATCATGTGACGCGACGTGCTCAGGACGGCAGGCAGTACAGCTTCCTGGTCATGCAGTACAGCTTCCAGGACCAAAAACGAGCAACAGTACCGGAATGTGACCTGAACAAGCAGGCCAGGGAGGCTCAGGCGGGCAA